GGACAATATGTGTGTGTAGATAGTGAGTAATTGAACTGCAGTCAGAAGTATTGTTGACGTTCGTTGATATAGCGTTTGTTATAAATCGACTGTTGAAAATAAGTGTATCGTAAAGTTGTATTCGGAAAGAATAAACCAGTTTTATTATGTAAGGACTTGTGTCGCTAAAGTTTCGTCAGAACGAAGTTACAGAAAGTTGATTAATGAATGGAGACGTAACAACATATATATACAGTGGTTGGATTCAAATATTTTAACAACAGGTTCTCTCACTAACAGCATGTAAAAATATTAGATATTAAAAAAAGGAGGGGCCAGAAAGCCCCCCCCCCCCATCACTGAGAAAATAAAAATAGGCCGTCACGGATAGTGTTAAAGATTCTTTAGAAACTTTCAATTAAAAAATGGATAGTAACAGGTGAAAAACAAAGAAATGAATTATTAGAGAAAGGGGTCCTGTTATATTTGGAGCAAAAACACAAAAATTTATATTTCTTAAAAATTTAAAAATGTATTAAACTAATGCATAGATGTTAGATCTATCATCTAAGAAATTTTATAAATTATTGGGGAAAAATATTTTCTAATGCAATTTCGTGCTTGCCAATTATTAGCATAAACTTTTAATTTTCATAGCTGTATAAGGTATATTAATTATATAGATCTAGGGGCTTAGAGCTATGTATATAGATGATCTAACCTTAGGTATAATAATAATAGATTAACGTAATTATTTAGATAAGAATTTGTAGAAAAAGCGTTCACCCGCTGGCTAATAATTCAGCACAGATTTGCACTAGCACGTAGGCCTAGGACGCTTGGCCTATAGTTGATGATATAACTAAGTTAGATCTAATAATAATAATTTAGATAAGATCATAAGAATCTGTATAAAAAAACACTCACCTGCTGGCAAATGATTCATCAGAGATCTAGTAGACCTAGTCCGCCTAGCCTGCTAGTAAAGTTGCGTTGTAAACACGCGTACTTGTAAGTTGTAACGTTAGTATTAGGCCTATACATACGATTGTTAACAACCGGTTGGTGAAGGTCATTAAATTCTAAGAACAGGTTCGCACGAACCGGCTGAATCCCACCACTGCTACTTTGTGTTCCAACGATAAGCAGTAAATTGATATTTGAGTGTATTGTGGGATTAATGTAAAGTTTGTGAACTTTATTCTAAATAAACTCTCGACAAAGAAACTTACAAGTTTAAAAGCAAGTTAAGTAACACCAGTGTTAACTAATGTTAACAGTTTCAGTCTTCCTTCGATTTAATTTGGAAATAAGATATAAATGTACGTCTAGTTAAGCCTAACTTATGGAGTTGTATATAAACTGCAATTTTTCCTATCACATCAATTTGAAGAGTTTATAATTGGATTGTCAGGCCTGATTCTCTAACTCACACACACGTATACTAATATGTATATATATATATAGTATATATATATATATATAACAAAACAACCCTACTCTAAACCAACACCCCGGGGTGCCTAGATACCTCTTCTAAGTTTCACAACAGTTCCGGTCATGTGACAT